AAGATCATCCTTCAACAGGGTGCTCCATGACTCTGGGGACAATGCATGGAGGAACGTTTGCCTCGGAAGAGCCCCTGTGAGCTCACCATTGCGTAAGTGTGCCATGCTCTGATCCCAGCATTTCCATGTATGAAACAAAAAGCACAACCGGGTGGTGGTGGTGCACACCTTTAATCCCAGCACTTGGGAGGCAGAGGCAGGCGGATTTCTGAGTTCGAGAGTTTGAGGCTAGCCTGATCTACAGAGTGAGTTCCAGGACGGCCAGGGCTACACAGAGAAACCCTGTCTCGAAAAAACTAAAAAGAAAAAAAAAAAAAGCACAAGGTTGGGACTGGAGAGATGGCTCAGCCATTAAGCACACTGGTTGCCCTTGCAGAGGACCAGGGTTCAGTTCCCAGCACCCACAGGGCAGCTCACACCCATCTGCAATTCCAGTTCCAGGGGATCCAAACCCCTTTCCTGGCCTCTGAGGGTACTGTATGCATAGGGTCCATGTACATACATATAGGCACAACAACACGCACATAAAGACAAATAACTCTTAGGAGCCCCTAGTCTCCTCCCTCTTCCTGGATCCTTACCTTGATATAACCAAGAGCTTTTTCCAAGCCATGCACAAGATGCAACCAAGAGTCTTTCCCATGTTCATTAGTTTCTCACAAGCCTTCCCCAGTTACACAGGGTTAGGCAGACTTTAGATGACTTGAAGGAACCAAAAAATAATAAAATAACATCTTATTGTATTAGAGTCCAGATGGCCCTGGAGAGCATCCTTCTACAGCTATTTCACTGGAGTACCAAAAAGGAAGTCAGTTAAGTCGAAAGCACACTACCTCGTAAGCCTAGCTAGAGACCAGAAGCTGCCATCCCTCTCCAGTACACTGTGATCAGCTGAACAACCCACACTTACAGTCTGAATCTCAGCTCCCAGTGAAATCCACTAGCAAAAGACCTTGGTGATATTTCTAATTAGGAGAAACATCCCTTTTTAATACCGACAATGATAAAAGGTAGCTTCCTTACCCTGAGATTTGAAGTCCAGGTTAAATCAGGCCCCTAACAGGGACCTGAAGGGTTTTCTACCACACCTGATGTTTCATAGACTCAGACCTAGCGATGGAGGTCTGTGGTAGTGTGCTTACCTGCCATGTGTGGGGCTCTAGCTCTAAGCTCAAATATTTAAAAACCATGGTGGGAGTGGGCTCAGCCCTATGACTTTGATGGAGTCTTATCATAGAAGAGTCTTGGGCCCAGTTGGATGAATACTGCGAGAGCTTCTTAGCAGGCTCCTTGGCCACACCCCTTAGCCTTAGCCACACCCCTTAGTCGTTCCTGTGAAGGCGCCCTTCTTGACTTCTGCACTCACTTCTACTTCCTTTCAAATCGTAGTCCACACCTGTGGTACTACAAGCCCTCATCAGCTGCTCCTCCCCCATGTCCCCAGCAGGGCCAGGACACACGATGATGAGGTTCCAATACGGTGGGGGCCACTTCCCCTAACATGGCCTTTTGTGAGTGATTATAAACCCATAAGACACTAGGAACTCTACTTCTTGTAAAACTCACAGGGCACTCAGTCTCCATTTGTCTAACCCCCCAGAGGGAAGTAATGCAAGGACCCTAGTTAGTGAAATTTAGGAAAACCATGAAAAACTGGAAATGCTAGTAAACATTTCCCACAGTGGCTTAACCAGAGAGGTCTGAGCTGTCACCTGTCTGCTACTGTATTGTGATGTATAAAAAGTGGAATATTGTCAACTCTCGGTCTTGGTCTTCCCTCTGAAGGAGAGCCATTCCCTCATCCGTGAACTGGTCCCTGTTCTCAGTGATTCTGTTCCCACGTCTTTCTCCTCACCTGTTTGTCCCCACATCTTACTAGACAAGCACCCTTCCAGTCCTGAGAGATGTGAGAGGAGGAAGGACAGCCGTTAGGCAGCATCCTTTGACCCTAGCTGAATACTGAATACATTGGGAGTTGTGTGTGATGGTGCCAGAGGGTGAAGATCTCAGAGGGACCAGAACGTAACCAGCACTATGGTGCAAGACCTGGCTTTCACAGGTAGGGAAAGATGAAAAAAATTTCAGGGAACAGATAGAAGAATGAAGACGTTTAATTTTTCAAACAAGGCTACTTGAATGGAAAGACTCCTATTGCCGTTCACAGAGACGCCTTAGTTGTACAATGGAACACAATGGAATATTTTATTCACACATAAAATTAGGGCATTCTCAGGTGTGGCACAAGCATGAACCTTGGGACAGGAGGCAGAGTGAGGGACAGGACAAATTATGATTCACATTCATGACGCACTTAGACCAACAAGAACACAGAGGCACTGAGGAACTTGCAGGCTGCGGGAATAAAGGGGAGAGAAGGGGCCAAGGGGTGGCTTCTGTCGAGGGTGATTAAATAAAGAAATACAGTGACAATCACTGCATGGCAATGATCTGTATCCTTTAAAGAGGTGAAAATAACCACAACAGAGACATTAACCAACACACGAACTCATCCACACACACGCACGCATGCACACACGCACTCAGGGCACGCGCACAGTTCTGGACCACAAGCCCAAGAGCAAAAGGGTCCCCCAACTTTTAAAAGCTTCATTTTTATTATTTGTGTGGTGGGGGGGGGAGGGTGCACACGCATGCGTGCATGCCTGCATGTGTGAGGTATGAGTCGCATGGTGTACCACAAAGACTGTGGTGGCCAGAAGACAGCCTTACACTGTCAGTTTTTCCCTCCACCTTTCTGTGGGCCCTAGGGATTGAACCCAGGTTTTCAGGCCTACACAGCAAGCACTTCAAAGACCTGCTGAGCCATCTCTTGGGCCCTGTGTTCAACATTTAATTGTCTCCAAGATCCAGCTTTGGGCCTACCTAGTCAGTGGATTTACTGCTAAGAAATATCCCCTTCAGTCAAGCCCAGCAGATCAACGGGCTCTTTCCCATCCCCCACCCTACTCCCTCTTCAAGGCCTAGACACGAACCACCTCCATGTGGAGGAGGCTCTGTCCCTAACGGGTTTTCACCCTCTGCTCAGGCTCCCTCAGCCTAGAAGGCTATCGGCACAAAGGCACTGTTCCCTTTGCACCCCACTTGCCTACAGACAGAACTGATTGTTACCTGTTTGCTTTTGCTTGTCACTCTGAAACACCTTCAAGGCCCTTCTACAGCCTTACTGAGCATAAGTCTCAGTAAGCAAGGGAACATGGTCACTGTTGATTAGCGACCCTCACGTCCCACAGCGCCTGTGTTTGCTATGCTCTCTGTGATCTTCACAATGAATGTGTTTGTGAGGTTGTCTTGTGTTCCCAGAGAACCTCAGGTGTTAAGGAAGCAAGACAAAATGCCACAGTTGTTAAAAGTCCATCTCTTCAGGAGTTTCCTAGTGTATGTCCAACTGGAAATCAACCTATGAAAGACTTTTCCTTGAGAGAAGGACATAGTTATTAGCCAAGTCATCAAACAGAGAACTTTTTCCTGACTGTGCCTTGGTGTTTCACCTTTAGAAAGTTAGTACGTGGCTGGAGAGAGGGCTCAGCAGTTTACAGCACTTGTTGCTCTTCAGGGAGCCCGGGTTGGATTCCCAGCACCCACATGATGGTTCATGACCATCTGAAAGTCTAGTTCCAAAGGAGGCAGTGCCTTCTCCTGACCTTTCTAGGCATCAATTACACATGTGGTAAACACACACGTGTGCAGGCAGAACAACCACACACAAATAGCTTTCAAAAATTTGGTTTTGTTGTTGTTGTTGTTGTTTTTGGTTACCAAGCAACACACAACTGTTGCTGAAGATCATAAAGTAAATGAGGAGAAAGTCTACCATCCCATTACTAAGTCAGCACCCGTGGGTGCCTACTTCTCTTCTTCTCACAGTTTGTTTTTCTAAGCATCTCTAACAGACCCCTTTCTCTGAGCATAAAATGAGGTTTGCGTGTCTCTGTGTAGCTTTCTTCTTAGTTTGTTTTTCGTTTTGGGGACAGGAGTTCATGTATCCCAGGTTGGTCCTGAACTCACCATGTAGCCAGAGATGATCCTGAACTCCTGATACTCCTGCCTCTACTTCCCAAGTGCTGGGACCACTGGTGTGCACTGCCCCAGCCGCTCTGTGATGCCTTGAATCTAAGGCTTTGTACGTGCCAGGCAAACATTCTATCCACTGAGCTACAGGCTGGGACCTGTGTATATCTCTTAAGACAGGTTTTTAGTTTCAAGAAAGAATATATTTACAGGTCACACGTGTGTGTGTGTGTGTGTGTGTGTGTGTGTGTCTGTGTCTGTGTGTGTATGTGTGTATCTGTGTGTGTGTGTATGCTTCCATTAGTTACTGCGTGACTCACAAGCTAATCTATTTTTATATTTACTATTTAATTAATATATTTATTTAAGTTGTCTTCTCTGTCACATAAGTGCTCTCTCTGATGAACATTCCTCTGTCTCCACACACTTGTCCAAGCATTTCCTCAGGATGAGTTCCCGGGACTGGAATCATAGTCCGTAGCAGCCACCAATCCCCAAACGATGCTTAACTGAAAGCAGATTCTAATGCAGATTTAGAATGCACCTAGCTTGAGTACTGTGATGTTGTTAAAACGTTTAAACCAGCCGGGCAGTGGTGGCACACGCCTTTAATCCCAGCACTTGGGAGGCAGAGGCAGGCGGATTTCTGAGTTCGAGGCCAGCCTGGTCTACAGAGTGAGTTCCAGGACAGCCAGAGCTACACAGAGAAACCCTGTCTCGAAAAACCAAAAAAGAAAAAAAGTTTAAACCAGATAAAACTCAATTTAAAAAGAAAATCTAAAGAATTCAGAAAGATGTTTTCCATATACCACCCAGTTGGATATGAAGATTCTAGAATATAATGTTGACTTGAAAGACAAGACATATCCTATTTTTAAAAGAGACTTTTATTAGTTACTTAGTCAAATGAGATATAAAGGTTAAGCAGAAAAAGATGAACCCTTATTTGCAAAAACTAACTTTCTCCAACATTAAAGAAAAAAGTTTTATTGATCTGATTTAAGAAATACATGTTCATTATAAAAAATGTGGAAAGCATATAGAGAAAGTGACTCTCAGGATCTAGCAAATACACAATACCCATATAGTTTCTATGTTCTACACAATGGATTTAAAGCAATCTTCTGGTCTCCTCTCTTCTGTTCCCTCCCTGGGAAACACCGTTGGGGAAAGGCCTTGTTGTGACTTCCAGACCAGTTCTTACTTGCTCTGAGCTGCAACCCACCCTGCTGAACTTTATATATAAACCCACAACCCACCTGGAAGCATGCCAAGCTCCTGAGGCCCAAAGCTTACACTGCTCAGCAGGGGGGTTGGGGGGGGGCGAGCCCATGGCACGCTTCCTCCGATCACAGCCAAGGATGCCTCTGTAACTCAAAGGGCTCATCTCAGCCTATCTATCACTCACCTAACTAGTGACTACGTCTCGTCTCCAGTGAGTGGCAGAGCTTGGCTAGGAAGCCATACTTGATCTGAGGCCAGCACTCTTTAGGTCTGGCAATAAAGAGAAAACTCTCGATTAAACCCTCTAATGTAATCACCTCTTAGAAGTCACAGAGAGGCGTAAGGGTGGCTGAAGAGAGCAGCTAGCTAGTGATGAGGTAATCTACAGCGGGCTTCTGCTTTCAGATCAGGGCTCACCCAATCTGTCCCTACAGGTGTTTAGTGAGATGTTCTCTTGTCCGATGTCTTCTGCTTAGTCAAATGTCAAGCAGAAATTAAAATCCTAGAAGTGTAGAAAAGGAGAGAGAGAAAGGCCCTTAAAAGACTCCCCGGGGCCAAGCCCTGGCTTTCCCTCCCTCGGGCTCGGCTCTCTTCCCTGTTCTCTGATCCTCACACTACTTCCTCTCAGCACGGGTTACAGATGTCATGGCTAAAAGTTACCTCCTTCTCTGACTTTCAGCGTATGACAGATTACAGGCTGGCAAAGCGAACGTGAGATCGAACAAGATTCAGCATCCTGAAAACACCTGGTAACAGATGCACCCGCTGTGAATTGCTGTATCACAAAATAACCAAGTTGTCCGGGGTTCCACACCACCCAACCTGCCACGGCCTCTGGAAAGAACCTACAGAAGGGTGTCTTAGAAAAAGGGTACCAGTGTAGCCTTCGCAAGTCACCTATCCCTTTAAGATGCAAAGGTACCAATTTTCATTAGCTGGATCCTTCTCTTCCACAAATCAGCTAGAACCCCAACACAAATGTCAGTCCCTTTATCCGGCCATCTCAGCTTCCCCATCATCCACATCCAAAAGACTCCGGCCCTCCCCCTGTGATCACTACTACCTGGTGCCATGGAAATCAGCATGTGACCGCAGGCCACCTTGATTCTTCAGCGGTTCCGGGGTCCTAGGGCTAGCCTTAAATGATGAGATGGAAAGCACACAGGTGGCAAGTGACTGCTTCTATGGACTAGTGTGTGCCACATAATGTTCATGGCGGGTAAGACAGGGCCCCTATCTTCAAGTATCTCACAGAAGGAAAAAGCAATCGTGTGCAAACCTAAGCGTAGTCACAGAGATGTAAACAGGAGCGAAGGCGCGGAGAAGAAGGGCGGCTTCTACGGCAGGGTGAGGCAGCTGCGAGGGGAGGTAATCAGAACCGGTTTTAAAAGGCTAGTGACATCAGTCGGGCAAAGGGTGGCGGTGGGAAAGCCAGGCAGGAGGGCCAGCATCATCAACCACAGCAGGGAGAGAGAACCAGTCCAACGTTGCTGGAACACCAAGTGCAGGGCAGGGAGTGGAGGGCGTTCAGGCTGGAGCGGTGGGCCTAGCAAGGTGCAGCAGGCAGCAAGCCCGCGCAGTTCTCTCGGCCCGGGGACCCGGAGGAGCCGCTTACGCAATTCGCAAGTGAACGAATTTGGGCGCCCGCGGAAAGGTTGTCGGGGACGGTCGGTGGTGGCGCCGCCAGCCCCCCCGCCCCCAACCCAGAGCACCTGTGCGCCTTCGCAGCCGCCAAAGCGGCCGCAGGCTGCGCCGATCCACCAGATCTCAAAGCGGCCCCCCTGGTCCCCGGCCAGCGCCGCGCGGAAGACCCCCGACCCGGAACCCCCCGAACTCGCTCCGGTGACAAGCGCCTGTGGACGCCGTGGCGGCTGCCTGCGCGCCAGCGGGCTGGGAGCGGGTTTCTCTGCAGTCGCCACAAGGTTTTTTTGTTTTTGTTTTCCCCCGAAGAGCTGTCCCCGCGGGCCTGCCCGACCCTGGGGGTGCTGGGGACGAAGGTTGCCCCGGGTGGCACCAGGCGGGCCGAGCGCGGCGCGGAAGGGCCGGCGGCGTCTGGGGCTTGCGCAAGGCGCAGTGCCGAGGTCCGTCCTCCCGGGCCGGCGCGCGGCAAAGCTCTCGGGCGCGCGGGGCAAGGGCAGGGGCGGCGCGCAGAGCCGCTCGGGGCAGGGGCGCGCGTGGGCGCCAGGCCGCTCTCATTACCTGGCCAGCGTGGTTTTCCCCGAGCCCGGGAGGCCGCGCAGGAGGTAGAGGTGTTTTCTAAAGCTGTGGCGGCGCGGAGGTGGCCCCCGCGCGGGCGACGGCCGAGGAGGCGGCTGCTGCTGCCGCTGTTGGAGGCTCAGCCTCCCGAACGATTCCAGAAAACTGTCCTCCATGGGGAGGGGGGCTGGCGGCGAGGGCCCTGGGCTCCCTTCCTGAAGTCACGGTCTTGGCCAAAGCTGTTGTTTTTGTGACTCTCCGGCCATGTGATAGATGGAGGGGCGGGCGCTCGGAGCCCAGCCCCTCCTCCCGGCCCCGCGAACCGCGGGTGGGGGCGTCTCTACCTGCGAGGCCCCGGGCGCTGCGACTCTGACAGCCGCGGGAAAGCGTGGGTGACGCAGCCCCCGGCGCTCCCCACTGCCAGTCCCCCGCTGCCTTCCGCTGTCCTTCCCGAGGGAAGGGGCCTGGCCCCGGGGACACAGTGGGAGGTTTCCCTGCAGTCACAGTGGAAGCCCAGCCCTCTTCTTACAGCTCTGCCTCGTCTCACTTCAGACAGGCCTAGACCTTGAAAGTAAATACTTTCGGTTGGAGATTAAAGAGTGTGACAAGCTCCTCAGAACAGTCACAGTAAAGGCCATTGTCTCCCCTACTGCGTGTGCATCAGCACCTGGCTGGGGTCCCAAGGGCTGAGGTACACACTCCTTCAGGGTCCTGTACAGTTAGTTCCTTAGTACCGGTACCGGCCTGCCAAAACTATCCTTAAAAAGCTGTATGCAACTTTTAAGTCTTGTCTTACTCCTTGGGTCTCGGGTGGACTCAGGAGGCTGCATGAATACCTTCTGCTGCCACACAGCAGAGGAGATTATCCTGGGACCATTTATAGAAAACCAAGTTCACGTTGCAGGAGTTGGCGGCACCCATTGGTAGGTACTGGCTGTGACTCTCCAGTATTTCCCTATAGAAGCTCCTGGTTTTCGGAATAAAACTGTTCAAAATTTACATCCTAGAACCTCCGAGATGTTGGTGGCTTTGGCTACAATTGTTGTAAAAAATAAAAACATTTTGTGTCTGGCACCTAAGTAATGGGCATTACGAGAAGGAACTGTGGAGAAAGAAGTAGTTTCTAAGACTCAGAACCAGAGATTTCCTGATCGGGTTCTGCCTGCGCAGCTATCTGGCTTTGGACTTCCCCTGGTTGGGGTGTGGGAGTGAGGCAGGCTGCTCCCCGGGGAATTCCCCTCCCGGCATGAAGCTACTTCTTTAGTCCTTCTTAGTACTGTAAAAACTCTGTGTGTACGTTGAGGGGAAGTATGAGGAACGGAGAAGACACGTTTGTATAGAAATACATCCCAGTTTACGTATGATGAGGAAGTGAATCTCCAGCACCCTGAGCGCACCCTTAGCACACAGTTACAAACGTGGTTTCCCTCGGCCTCAAATACTTTCTTTTTCATTCCAATTCTCTGCTGTCCAGTAAGGAGCTACTGTCACATAAGGCCATGGGGGCATTTGGGGTGTGGATGGTACAAAATGGGGTTAAGGGGCTTGATTCGGCAGCACCTTAAATTGGAATGATGCAGAGCAGATTAGCATGGCCCCATGCAAATTCATGAAGTGTTCCATATTTTTAGGGGTCCTGCCTTTCTTGTTGAGTAGAGATCTTAACCCTGGTCACTCACTGATCCCTGTTTTTCTAGAATAAAACACAACAAACAAACCCAAAAATGTGGTTAACACACACTGAGGGCTGAGGAGATGGCTCAGTAGGCTAGAGTCTTAGTGTGCAAGCATGAGGACATGAGTTCAAATCCACAACCCCCATGTAATAAGGCGGGAGGAGTGGCTTAGCAGAGCAGCTACAGCTTCAGTGAGAGACTCTGTCTTATAGAGATAAGACAGAGACCATAAGGGAGACACCTGACGTGTCCTCTGGCCTCTACATGCATGAGCACAGGCATGTTGTACACCCTCATATGAGCACGAGTGTACACACATGCACACACACACTCACACACTCAAACACCATGGAGAGATGGCTCAGGGACTAGGATTAGTGTTTCCTTCCCAGCGGCTATGTGAGGTGGCTCACAAGCACCTTTAACTCTAGATCCAGGGGATCTGTGGTACGGGGCTATCCTTTGAGCCAAACAACCCCATTCTTGAGGTATTCAGCTGATCTGGCTTGCACAAATCTAAGCTGGGCTGGTTGCCGATTTACGTCCCCTATAAGAGGACTGGGGAGAGTCACCAGACCCTTAGCTCCTTCCTGCCTGTCGAATGCAGCTCTGTCCTAACAACATGCAGCCTGGGGAGAAGACTCCATCTATGCGGCAATATGGGAAGGCCCTCGTCCAAGTCTGGTGGGTGAAGACTTTGTGGTGTGGCCTTTCAGGTGAGGCCCATGCATCCCCTAGAAGGTAAACACTCATCTGTGCTGTGTAAGGACGCCCAATAAACGCACTGCTTCTCCAGAGTGAACTTGGGTGGAGTCATGCCCCAGTTTGTTGTTCGGACAAGAAGAGAAGGAATAAAGATGTTGCATAGGTCTCCCCAGGGGACTCTTAGCAACAGGATCCAAGGCCCTTCTGCCCTCCTAATATGTGTGCATACATACACTAACACACACACACACACATGAAGACTTAAAAAAATATGTCAGGCATAGTACATACACTTTTTTTTTTTTTTTTAGTACATACACTTTTAATCCCAGCACTTGGGAGATATGGACAGGCAGTTCTCTGTGAGTGCTTGAAGCCATCCTGGTCTACATAGTGAGTTCCAGGACAGCCAAAGCTATGCAGAGAGACCATGTCTCAAACAAACAAAAGAAAAACGCACACTGTATGTTGCAGCGTGAGAAACAGTGGATGCCTCACTGTGCTGTCGTGGAAATGATCACTTTGAAGGAGAGAACAAAATAAAGCAAAGTGCAGTGTGCTAACACTAGGAGCTTACTTGGGAGCAGGGGAGGGCAAAGCAAAAGCATCTCTTAAGCACAGAAATCCAGGGTAGCCTGGGTAGCATGGACGACACAGGTTCAACGGAACAGAAAGAGAGAAAAAAAAATCATCTGATAAACCATTTGGGGAAGTGATGTTTTTCTAAATATTACATTTTAATAAGTTGTGGAGAAACAAGAAGCACAGTGCAAAAGAGAAGCTGGGCAGACAAATCCCCTGCACAAGCCTGATAAGAACATCCTAACCGGCCTCACCCCCTCTCCAATACGCCCCACCCCTACTCCAGCAAGTCCCACCCAACTCCAGCAAGCCCCACCCCCACTCATTCATGTGCATATGAGGTTCGAGGGACCAAACTCAGCTCTACAGCACATCCCTGGCATCGTATGTCACTCTCTTGCTGGCAGACACCTCCCCAGAGGTAAGGACTGCACCTGATGTTTGCCGCAGGTGCAAGGACCCTTGGTGTGACTGCACACGTTTTATGAAGATACCATGGAGGAGAATAGTCCTAACCCATTTCCCCAAAGCGTCTTTTTGGAAATTAGAAGGTGATAAATGTAGAGAAAGGTGTAGAAAATTGCAGCATTCTAGAACCCAGCCTAAGCCTTGTGGCCAGTGAGTCAGTAAGCATGATTAACTCATAAGGATGGTCCAGATTGGTGACTGTCCTCAGGATGCCCACTGTTAAATATTTCCAACACTATATCCTTAGCCACAGCTTTGATGGAGTGGCTTTTTGTTTGTTTTTTTTGTTTGTTTTGTTTTGTTTTTGTTTTTCGAGACAGGGTTTCTCTGTGTAGCCCTGGCTGTCCTGGAACTCACTCTGTAGACCAGGCTGGCCTCGAACTCAGAAATCCACCTGCCTCTACCTCCCAAGTGCTGGGATTAAAGGCGTGCGCCACCACTGCCTGGCTGATGGAGTGGGTTTTAACGTAAAAAGCCACACATTTTGCTGTTTAAGGCACCAAAAAAAGAATTTTCCAGATGCCAGTCTCCTCCCTGGCTGGCTGTCTACCCCTCCTCCTAACTCTGCCTCACTCCTGGCTCTTCCTCATCCCTCATCTAGATGCCCAAGGGAAGATGTGGGAGGCAGGTGAGCTTAGGGAACCGCTGGGCTACTTTACATTAAATTAAATGCATTTAGTCTTAGCTACTTGGGAGGCCCAGACAGGAGCACTGAAAGTTCAAATACTGCCTGGGGAACTTTTTAACGTAATTTTTATCTCAAAACAAGACTGGGGGAAGGGAACCAGTCAGGAAAGGAGAACACTTCAGCCTCCTAGCATGGAGCAGATCTGTGCTGCCAGAATCCTGTTTCCTGGCCAGAGACCTGGCTCTGTGAACAGCCTTTGGTTTTCTTGGCCTTTCGGGACTTCAGAGTATAAGAAAAGAGCAGGCCACGAACTGCGGCTGGAGACCTCCAGTGTAGCAACAACACAAACTCACTCTGCACAGGGTAAACATGGAGAAGGCACTGGGCAACCCTGAAGAACGTGATAAATACCCACTACAGATGGCAGGTTGAAGGCAAGTGCAGAACGTCTGCTCTTCCTTGAAACCTCACTGAAGTGCAAAGGAAGCTACTTTGGGGTTTCTCCGGAAGCCCCGGCTGTTTTGTCGGTATCACTTTAAGCATAAGCTGCGGAGGGGCCATAGCAACAGGATTCTAGAAACTGGACAGCAGGGGGTCAACTGCTGACTGATTTGATCAAAAGTGCCCTAAGTTACGGAGAGCCAGAAAGCTCAAGTCATCCAACACACCCAAGAACCTCAGACACGGGAAGGTGTGGAGCTGTGGGTGGAGCTTAGACTGAGGGGAGTTCAGAGTCCAGTTAGGAAACAGAGGTGAGGGTTGGAGGTGTGGCTGCGCAGGTCCTCCCACTCCTCCCCCTCCCCCCACCAAGGAATGGAGGTGTGGCTATGCAGGAAAGCCCCGGTCCCTCGGCAATAGAAACACACACACACACACCTGCATCATGAACGTTATTCTGTGGAGAAGGTAGGCCAAGGGGTTGCAAAGGAAGGACAGACTACATGCCAAATGAGTAAAGAAGAAATAAAAGCCAGGTCCTGTCTGTTTAGGTCAGTCTTGCTGACAAATTAATTTTAATGTCATGCTGAAATCAAAACCCAAAGTGGATGCTGGGGTGAAGGCCAGGTTAGGGAGCTGGGTTAGGTTAGGTTGGATGAGAGCAGCCCTGAGGGCAGGTGGTCATGACCGTGGGTATGTTATGAATGAACTAAAATCCACTCAAGAGGAACTGAAGGTGGGGCTGGAGAGAAGGCTCCGAGGTTAGGAGCACTC